AAAAAAGCTTCCCTACACTTACGTTATATAAACCTTTCACCTTATGGTGATATGCAGTCAATTTTCTCAAGTTTACAAATAATATCAAATTTTTATTTAATTTTTGGAGGTTTCCTGGGATTATTTTGTTTTCAGGATTCTGTCTCACTTGGTACAATGTTTACCTTGGTACAATGTTAATTACTGAGAACTTACCAGTTCTAGTGATCTAATTAGAATAGGAGCCAACACTGACAGTTCAGCTAAGCCACAGGATAATCTTGGATTTCAAAATGGCAAATGTGTAAAACCTTGACCACTCCACAAACATTATTTTGCCAAGGAACAATTCTGTTATCAATGCCAATTCATTGGCCTTGCTGTAGCTGTGAAGAAATTCAGAAGCTCTGATTTCTAGACAGCATTTGCTACCAGCTGCTATTAGTACTTCTTAACCAGATAACCTGCACAGCCAGAATCTGCTTTGCATGTGGCCCCAGTGCATGTCTGCCAAGGTCGATGAGGCTGGCACTTTGCAAGTAACTAGACCCTCTTTTGTGGGGTTGGGATGGGGAGGCACAAACAGGGCACAACAATATTTACTCTTCACAGAATGTTTTCTCTGGCACCTCCATTATTTGTTTCCAGTGCCTCTCTCCCCACAAAAGGACAACAAGTACATTTATTTGTGTTTTTAAAAATCAGTTCCCAACTCAGGCCTACTTTATGCAGACTGCACTATCAGCAGCTTCCATTTCTTCTTTAATGGGGAGTAAGAAAAAGCTATACTTAAAAGCTGAAGGTATTTATTCTTTCTTCCCTGCCCTGAAGGGACTGAGCTGTTGCCAGCAATTACAGGCAGCTGGCAGTTCCCTGGGATCACAGGAACCAGGAACCAGTAAGGGCACTCTGGTCCCATCTACCCGCCCTAGAAAAGCTCCTCTGCCACTGAACAGTGTCACTTCCCAGCTCTGCCTTTCCTCTGGCCTCTGAACTCCCACCAAGGAATGGTCTTTCCCAAAGGCTACCCACCCATTTAGGTCAAAATCTTAATCTAAGAAAAGTGGTGAGAATTTTGCCATTCAATTCACTCCTTAAAAGCAATTTCAAAATCAGTATATCAGGTGTTGTAACCAGCACTGAAAAGGCAATGGAAACCAGGGCATGTGGCTGCTCTTGCAGTTGATGAGTTACATCATTGCTAACTTGTCCTCCTACTTTGCATAATATGTAAAAATTTCCTTTTGTGTGTGTGTAAAAAGGAGTGCTTTCTGATGAAGTTTCCATTATTGCAGCAGCTGCTTTCATGCTTTGCTTGGAGACTACAGAATGTGATCCTGTTATGGTGCCTTTGCATATTTTAGTAACAGGTAGAGACTCCAGGCACTGTAGGCAAGTAACTGTGTTACTTTTTATAGTAATGTTGTTAACTTGTCTCATCCTGTGCTGCTGCTACTAGTGTTTCGCTTTGAGTTACATGGGTGGTTGCCAGTCGCTTGCTAAATAATAGGCAGTACAAAATAGAACAAGAAAATCTCGCGTAACAGAAAATTGTGTGAACTTTACAAATCAGACCAGTTTAATTTCTAAAATATTTTTTAGGATTCCAGTCAACTATCAAGTGATGATATTTCACACAGGCTGTTTTGAAGCAATGAATCAACAAGGTGACAGATTTAATTATTATTTTCTCTTCCTTCTTTTACTGCCCTGGCCTGTGTCTCTTGTTCTGCTTCCCCATTCCTTCATTTCTGCTCTGTCCTAATCCTTCAGCATTTGTTTGATTTGAAAAATCTCCCTAGAACGTTGTTGCTTCCTCAGCAGCCTTTGTATTTGCTCCTTTCCTGCTACTTTTTCCTCTGAGCTGCCCCATCTGTACAGCCATCTCTGCTGGTTCACTGGAGCATGTTGCCCTCTAGCACTTGTACCCAGCAGAGGTCACTCAGCAAGTCATGGCTGGGTGTTGGCTACCTGAACATAAGGAAGACAACCAGAAACGATCTCTAACAGCAAGTTGCACGTAGTTCTAGTTCTGGGATGTTAGCAAGAAGAGGAACTGGACTATAGATACTTGCATGTCTGCCTAAGTCCTTCTACTCACTAGAAATACACAGATACAAAAAAACCAAACCAAACCAAACCAAAACAAAACAAAACAAAAACAAACAACAAAAAAAAACCCAAAGAAACAAACAAAACAGTAAAAAAAAATTCACTTGTTTTGGGGGAATTCTGTGTAGCCTAGGTACAGCTTCACAAACCTAGAGGGTCTGGAGAGAACCCCTGACAGCTCATATATTCATTACCTCCTGAAGGAGAAAATTATGGCTTTGAAAGCCATTCCTTTAGGTAAACTCCAGAATAAGCCAGTGAAGAATATCGTTTCAAATTCTGGCCACCAAATGTAAAGTTGATCCAGCCAAGATGTACCACAGCCTGGAACAGCTGGTTTCCACAGGCAGTAGCTGCTTCTGCAGTCTCTCTGCTCTATGGCCAGTACATTCAACTGGCAATTTCTCTTCTGCATTGGCGAGGAAAATATCCAGAAGTCCTTACGAATTATTGCTGCTTATCCTAAATCATTGCAGTTCATGGTTTTGGATGTTGTTGGAAGTGCAGAGAATGAGCAGGACATCGTGGGGATAAATAAACATGTGTTGACAGGCTTCAGCAACTGCTGCTCTGAAGGATCTCATGGAGGGACATGCCTACATTATGGCTCAGACCAATGAGAAGAGCAGCTCACTGCTATTATCATTTGAATTTATCCACAAAGTCTGGCAGTACTTGACTAGCAACAGTCTCAGCACAGATCTGGGCCACCGCCAGTGACTGAGCAATGCACACACACACGCACAATCACACACACACACACACACACACACACACACACACACACACACACACACACACACACACACACACACACACACACACACACACACACACACACACACTCAGTGCTCCTGAGCAGCTGCAGCTCCATGGGCCAGTGGCATCCCACAACAGGTGCCTGTGTGAGGAGCAGGTGGCCACAGAAACCTATTGGAAAGGTAGGAAACAAAAATTAAGCAAAAATTCACTCATAGCTTCCCCATGTGCAGCTGCCCTCACACAGAGAAAACTATTTTGGTGGTTCACACCATGACCACTGACTATCTTTCCTCCCTGCACCTAGAAGGGGACGCATTTCCAGAATTCTGTGGGACAGTCAGGATAGAAGACTGCAAGACTTTCAGCCCCAAGGGTCTGCATGTATCTACATTTACTGTATGGTGCAGAGGGTGCCTAGAACTACGCTCCAACTGGTTGTGTCTCCAACTCAAGACTACTCATTCTTGAGACTCTCTCTCCAACCAGGTTAAGAATTCTCAATCTGTGCAAGTAAATTATACCCAGATTTGTTGGTTTCAAAAGGGAACTGTGAGGAATGGACTAAAAAGAAGCCCATCTACCCTCCCATCCTCCCCCTGGCCACATTATGTGGCCTGGCAGCTGAATGCCAGCTTGCCTTGTGCCTCACATTGGAGGGAAAATACATTCACTTGTATTGCCTTCTTCTATTTCCCCTCTTAATCCCATCCTTGATTATTTAATAAATGCACTTGAAGAAGTACCTGATTTTTTTCTTACAAGCAAATTATTTTATTCCCCTAACTGAATTCGAGGTGAATTTGGTGGCTGCAGCTTGAACCAGTTATCCTTGTGTTTCCCATAAAACATGCATACATCTGTGACAATTTTTTCTTTGTGTTTGACATGAATTTTACATGAGGGAAGATGAGGTTAAGAGCATTTGCCTACATAATGATAGGTTGTATTTTCAAATTGCATAATATTTCTATTTTTAGATAAAAATCAAAATTGTTTCCAGAATTCCTGAGGCCTGTACTTCATACTTCCACAGAAAATGTGTCTCATAGAAAATCTTCTTCTTTTTTCATGGAAGAGGACACAGAGAACTGATGCAGTGGGAAGAAAAAAATGCTTACAAAAATACCACAAACAAAATCATCCCCAGAGAAGGTTATAATAAGAAAAAAATTCCCCCTAGCAGCTACAGGGATTCTCAGTAATTCTGTTCTGTATTGGCAGTGAGATAGTTCACATAAATTTCAATATATTAATATTAACAGTGGTTAAAAAAAAGCTTTTTTTTTTTTTTTTTTTTTTTTTTTTTTTTTTTGTAGGGTACACAATTGCAGATTGTAAGGCTATAGCTTAGTATGGGACTTTATCAATTTTTGTCATTAATAAATTTAGCTCCTTACCAGCAACTTTTACAAACATATTTTCTTCATCTGCAAACCTCTTTATATACATAAGTTTTTCTGTGCAATAAGCAGGCAAACTGGCACAGGCACTAATATGCACACAGACAGCAGGCTCTGCTCTGGCTGCTCCTCATCCTTACAACTTGTTTCCCCCTGAATGTACTACCATTAAGCAGCTGGAATGCAAGCACAGAGAAAGGGGATTTGATGCCACGTTCTTCCTTTTAGAATCAGATTTTGCACTTCAGATAAATGGGAGTATGGAAGGGACATAGGACCATAGACCAAAACAGATATTTGGCTGCAGAGTGAATGAATTTGGGTTAATGTACCACAGGCTACTGCAGGAGGTTTCAGAAGCCTGCTTTTGCACTGACCTGTTTCTCAGACAATAGCTTCGGCCCTACTTTTGCTATATTTAGATGTAATTTCCCCTTTCATTGTAATATGGAATAAACCACTTATTCTCCAGAGAATCTAGAGAATATTTTAGGAAAAAAAAAGCTTCAAAAATCCACAGCTGTACATCAAAATCAAAGACCACACATTTTGAATAAATTGGTGGTGTAGCACTGACATCTTTAGGGTTCCCTTGTGCAGATAACATCATGTATCAAATGCAGCTGGCTTATTTCATTTTGCATAATCAACTTTCAGTGTTCATTGCTTTAAATATGTTAGAGGCAGGTAGAGCATGTAATGTGTGGCTATATATGCTTTTTAATTTTTATGTCTCTGAATCTACAGCCCACTGTCATGATACAGCTTGACCTGGTTGCTACATACTTCACCTAACTGAATGGGAGTCCTCTGTGAAATGTCATCTACAGCAACAGCTCCAGGGTTGCTCCTGCTCGAGTGCTGTGGACAAATCTGAGCACTTTTGGCTGCAGAAAGGTCAGCTTATTAGCCAGCTTTTAGGATTAGAGGTTCTCGTCTGCGAAAAGCAGTATCTAGGAACACCCACAGGATAAGGGCTGGCTAAGCAATGCTACTTTGAAGACAGAATGGAGTGACTCTTCCAGTGGTTTTTGACACCACAGTGCAGAGAAGCAGACAAGTAATTCACCTTGCTGTATGTTCTTCCTAAACAAAGTATTAATTGTCTAAGGTTTTCCCCCTTGCTGTCTTGCCTAGTCTGAACTATCATTGGGCTAGGTTTTTCACTGGCAGGAAGCACAAGTGGTTTATTAGTAGACTAGTACTGGTCAAGAAACATTAAGTTTTTCTTGGAAACTGTTTCTGACTTACTGTCTACTGATAAGAGAATTTTATTTTAGGAACCTGAAAACAAAACATCTATAGCTAGTGTTCACTAGGGATGAAACTTTAGAGGAGACTGTCACAGCAACCCCTCATATGTTGTTATTGTCACAGATACATCTCACTTTATTCAAATTAAAGCTATAATGAAATGCTGTGAATTTTCCACCTGATTCCCTATTAAGCAGTATTACTGTCACTTCTGATATACCAGCAAATGATCATAGATCCCTCCACCACTCCTGAAATTGCAAGAATTCCCTTTGATACTGCTGTGGCAGTCTTGAGGGGAAAAATCTCTTTGGAAATTCCAATTAGTAGCTGACATTCATTAGTAGAAAAATCTGCTATGATTCCTATGCATTTGATAATCCTGTTTCATGGCAATATGTGCATCACTGGACTGATACCTCTGTCAGTCAGCTGAGGGTGACTCCTGCACCTTGGAACATACCAGGTCAGACTCAGATTTATTCTAGTCTAAGCAATGATAACAGAAAATCTACTATTTCAGCTGCAGTGCTACACTCTATAGTATCCAGTGAGAACCCACCACATTCCAGCTGTGTGATGCTTTTGCACAGTTTTGATCAATTCTGGTTTGTTGCAGTCAACAGAAAGTTGTCTGCAAATAATTTTTGCATAGCATTTAAATAGTACATTCCATGATGTACTCATATGTGTATATATGCAATTGAGGTTAGACAGAGACAGGATCTTTTGTCACACAAACCCATTAAACTTCTTGCGTAAACAGTGGAAACATACAAAGTAAACATGCATGCAGGCCACATGCTTCATCACAAAGACAATTAACTGGAAAAAAAGTATTGGTTCTTGTAGAGAAATGGCATAAAAAAAACAATCAGAAAGGAGACAAGGGACACAGGAAGGAGGAGTGCTGAAAGTGGGGCTCTGGTTTATGGCTTAACATATGTTTGGCTCTTTTTGCTTGGCTAAACATGAGAGCTTGCATGCCAAGCAATGCCTAAAAAGGATAAGTGGAATTAAAACCAAAACTGCTCTGTGGTCTTGCTTATTTCTTCAGGAAAAAAGAGAATTATGCAAGTTCCTTGTAAGACTGCATCACAAACACCTGATATCTAAAGGCCAAAATCCTTTTGTAACTGAAAGAAGGTAGTATCTGCAAAATTAAAATTATAAAATTTTAAATGAGTAGTATCATTCATGTGATCCAACTCATTGTTTTATTGGAATCTTTTTGGCTTCTGCAATACAAAGACCTGTTGAAAATGGTACTTTTCCACATGTGGCTACAAGACTTGATCAAGAAATGTCAAATCACAATTATGGCAGTTCCCAATGGCTCGGTTGTGAGTTACTGCAACAAGACATTCTAAGAAATCTAGGACTAAGCTGCACTAAGCTTTAATTTTTAGCTTTTAACAGCTTTCCTTGGTGCTCTTGCAATTTGAGTATGTTTCTTAAAAGTTTTTGAGCAAAGTAGGTTTTCAACAGATTATCTTCTTAACATTAAAAAAATGTTGGTACATTGCTATATATGACAGAAAACAAAAAAGTAGCCACAAATACCTTTTGTAGCAACTAACTTCCTTCAGCAATATATTTGGCCATTTTGATAGCAAACGTGACTTGACTTGCGTTTAAATGGTTTAAGTTTCCTAAGAATCTATGATTTTCCAGAAGCTGCCTTGGGAAACAAACCAAACCAAACCCACCAGTAAACTTGGAAGTGTAAAGCAACATGATAAAAAATACTAATGAGATAAAGATGAGTAACTGCCAAATCTAAGATAAGTCTCTTTTAACACAACCAGCAACTACAGATTTAACTTCAATGAAGAGGTGGAACACAGGACTTCTGGTTCTCCAGGGAAATGGAAGGCATCTCAACCATATTCTCACAGTTCACACATTTCAGCATTTGGCACAAAACAGGCATTTACACATAAAAAAATCTCCCTGTTCCTACTTATTTACTCATTGTGCTACTCACAACAGAGGAAGACCTGCAATGTCAAGTCACAGACCTTGATGCAACCAACCTAAACATTTATTATTCCTTTCCTTGAGGCAGCATACAACAACTTTTTTCTGATACAAGTCCTTTAAGTTCCTTTGCTATTGGATAAAATAACAAAGACAAATATTAAGTGAAGAAAATTAGCTTTATTTATGTAAATTAGAAAAAAGAATTGTTAGAACTTTGGTCAAATTGTTAATTCTGTACAATTTACAATTATATTTACATACAAAACTTCTAATAAAATACAGTACATCACACTCTTCCTGAGTCACAGTGTGTTTCTCAGTTCTGTAAATATTTTTTTCTTCTTCCTTTTAAAGCAATTAGATCCAAGAAGGAAATGGTATCCTCAGTTTGACAGTGTTTGGTTTAGGTAATACTGTATTAAGAAAGAAGTCAATACATTGTACTTAGAAAATACTTTGTAGCCATTGTAGTTTTTATAGTTATTTTTCTATATTAAAATATGTTCCTTGCTAAAAATGTTAATTACATACTTCTTATTATGAGCTTGTTGCACTCTATTTATAGACACAAGACAAGGTGACTTCAAATACTTCCATCTCTCACTGCAGAGATACAGAAATCACATTACATGTATACATCAGCGATCATTCAAAGATCAGGGAACATCTATCCAGATAGAGCAGAGGTCTGAATTGAGGCACAGTATGTTAAAATTGCTGTCCAGTCCTGGACAGGATATGTAAGCTATTGCCTGGCTCCCCTAAGACAAACTTATCAAAGTACACGTCCTGAAAAGTGAGACTGTGTCAAGCAGCAAGGCACCGAGCCTGTCAATCCTTACATATGCATGACAGTCCCACTCTGGAAAGAACCACAGTCCCCAGAGAGGCACTGTAGAGCTGTATTTCACAGCATTGTTACATCTTGGCCAGCTCAAGATGTTATTAGGATTAAAGCTATCCATATTACCTTTATTGAGTTCAATTTTCTGAGATCAGCAATAAACTGTTATAAGGCTTACAAGGATATTTAATCTGTTTAATGAATGATGCAGTGTGCTAAATTAGTAATTAGCATAGATTACAACCTGTAAGTAAGTTTATGTCCCTGTTAAATTCATAAACGAATTACAGTAACTTATTTGCGACAAATATTGCTTAAAAAAAAATTAACTTTACGTAATGGCTAAGTGTGGGACACTCCTAAATATATTTATGGTAAAGTTCACTCTATTTATTTTAATATAGGCATGTGCATTTCTGATATTTTAGTCCAAAAAAAGAAAATACAGATTTGATGACCTCTGATTTACTCATAGTGTTTAGAGATATTTAAGAAGTCTTACACAAGGAGAAAGTTATCTAGAGACTTGCTTTCTCTTAAAAATGTTCTGTAATACTTCAGCACAAACTGAAATACATGATATCAACTCATGACAATACTTTGCGATTAGAAATTAAAAGGGACTTTCTTGCTGTGCATAAAATGACAATATGGGGCTTTAAAGAAAATTGGTCTTTAGCTGAATGCTTGAACTTTTCCCCGGATTTTTTGCATGCTTAGTAGTCTTCACTTTGATGCTTTCTTGATTGCCTTTAACAGCTGACTCAAGCCTGGCTTTCATAGTTGGAGAGGAGGCCATTAGTTTTTTAAAAACTGATGAGTACTGTGGACCAATCTGCATCAGAGTTTGCAAAGCAAACTCATGTAGATTTTTTGCCGAGATTGTAGCAGAAACCAGCGCATTTTCATCCAAAAGGAAGGAAATGAGGATGGGAAGAAAGCAGGCCACCAAGTGAGCACCTATAAACATTGAAAATAGAACTTACATACACAATTTTTTAAAATACTGTCAAATTCTAACTGGAAGTATTTCTCTGAGTTAACATGTAATTCAAACTGCAAAGCTGCAAATGTTAGCTGAACTGTCGGGTAAAAAACCCAACATTCCTGTAAACAATTTTCTCGGCAATTAGTGTCCAGGACTGAATTCCTAGTGGTCATTTTGGTTTTAGTTTGTTATTTAAGGCAACTTTGAGCATTTTTAATGCTTTGGGTACAAGAAATAGAATTAACTTACGGTGCTGCTCCTCAGCAGCAGCTGTCAGAGCTGTAACCACCTTTATTCCCTCCTGAATGACTTGAAGTTCAGCAGCATTTTCAGGTTTTGCTTTTTCTGTTTCCTGCAGTTTCCTCACAATGGATGGTGCTAAAGAATGGATATAAGGGTATGACACAGTTTTGTTTGGATGCTGAAAGATGGAGTGCAGCAGCTGGTAGCATTTATACTGTACCTAAAGGGAAAATGAAATTTGCAGTTACAAAGTGTTATAGTTCAAAATACATCTCTGTATATAAATCTAACAGCTTGTCAGATAAAATTTTTGGGAGGGAGAAAAATGTGCCTCACAACTTGAAAATTCATCAGGTTGTAGGCTGTTCATGTTTAACACTTTATAGGACCATTATAACTTGTAATCAATTATTAATAGAAACCAGATAATGCATTCTGTTTCTTTCCATCAAGTCTCGTATCTTCTGACATTTTTCAGTTAAGGAAAAAATGCTATTTTTGTTTGAAGATTAGTATTATTTTGAAAATACCATCTTCTTAGCAAAAGTGCAATAATACAAAAAAAGTGGTGCTTAAAATAAAAGCAATATCCTTGTCAAACTGTAGGTATAATATTTAAATGCCTTAAATGGTGCAGTGGCTTGCATCTATTTGGAAATCAACAGGACTGAAACTTCCAAGTTCCTACAAAATTTCCAAACAGATCTGATGCCTAAATACTTGGATGAAATTTGCAAATGCATGCTAATATTTCCTTGCAGTCATATTAGGCATTTTCAGTTTCCTAACAGTGAAAACAATACTTTACAATATTGGGAATTTACTGACACACAAAAAAGTATTGTCTTACAGTTATTTTTCAAGTAAATAAAATTTTAATTTTCTATTACTACACAAATATACATAGCAGAGATGCAAGAAAAGCAGCTTACACAGAATTCTAAAAAACATGGAATCTAATGTGTGTTATTTTCAGAGCTGAACTTTGAAAGTGAAGAAAAAGCCATTTGTATAAATGCTTTTTTCCCTGATACTTTTTTTTTTTTTTTTTGGTTAAGGACAATAATATATGAACTGTGGCACTATAATCTAATGCCACTACATGGAAATATATATGCTAGATCAGAACAAAACATTAATCTAGTTCAGTAAGCTGCATCCAGCAGTGGCCAGGAGCTGATGTTTATGGGACAGTAACAGTTTTATAGTGGTATCTGCTCCAGCTCCCAAAGGCTCACAGCTGAGGGATTTCCTATGCAAAAGACAGTATGTGTGTTGAAGATAAAATGAACAAATAAAATTTGACAGGTGCCTATAACACCACATAACTGTATTGTGTACTTAGCAATGTATAAAGCACTGAGTCTGATGCAGTAAAAAAAACAGGAATACAGAATCGCACACAGAACAGTGATTAAATGCACTGCTGGACATGTTCTTGCTCTCTTGGTCAAACTTTATTTTAAAATACAACAAATATAGTCACGAGAGAATTAACTTCCATCAATATACAGGACTAGGACACAAGTAAAATAAACTTAAAATAATATTAATTTAGTATGGTAGTGGCATTCTATTAACTTCACCAGTACTCACAAGAGGATCTTTTGAATCAAGTGTTGTTTTAAACTTCTCAATACAACGCTTCTGAAGGCACTCTAAAGTAGTAACTTCTGGGCTGGTAGACATAACAAATACTGTAATAGCAGTAAGTAGGCTGACTTCATCGAGTTCTTGGAGAAGACCATCTACTATCAACAAAGTAAGAGAACTGTTAGATTTGCATTAAAAATTCTATGAGTTTAAGTGGTACAAAGAGGTGGAATAGAAATATCTGGGAATATAGAAATATTTAGGAACCTCAGTTTTCAAATACACATCTTCTGATACAGTGAGATGGACTTTACTGCAATAAAAGCCAAGAACAAAATGGGAATTCAGGGGTGATCATATGCATATTTAGAAATTATAGCATACTCCCATTCCATTATTTCTTTGTATAAAGTACAATAAATATCCTTGAAGAGCTGTTCTGACATATTAGAGTACAATCTATTTGAGAATAATATAAAATTTGCATTTAGAATATATATTATTTTGCTGTAAGTTTTACAAAATTTTGTAAAGAAAAGTTCCAACAATTTACAACATAAGAAACAATGAAAATACTACAAACTCAGGAAGTTGAAGCAGCAGCACACAATAAACTGATTCAAGACAAAAAAAATATTTTCTTGCACTACTATTTTAATACCCTTTGCTTCACTAGAGACACTAACTCTTATTGGAGAATCTGCACTCAGAGGACAACTCTCTTTTACGCTCAGCTGTACACTGAAGCCATAGCTCCTGTTTATGCCTCATACCATGGAACTACACTGTGGCACTACACAACACAGAAGAAAGTCTGCAAACCCACTGTCCTAGTTTCAGCTGGGGTGCAGCTAATTTCTTCTCAGCAGCTGTTGCATTGCTGTGTTTTGGATTCAGAATGACAATGGTGTTGATAACACACTGAAGTTTTGGTTTTTGCTAAGCTGTGTTTATCCTAAGTCAAGGACTTTTCCCCTAGTCTCATGCTGTGCCAGTGAGAGGATCAGCAAATGAAACTGGGAGAGAGCACAGTTGGGATGGGTTTTCCAAACTGAACAAAGGGATATTCCACACCATACAACATCATGTCCACTAAATAAACTGGGGGAGTTACTTGGAAGGGCAGATGATCTCAGTTCAGGAAGGGGGGTCTGGCATTGGTCAGAAGGTGGTAAGCAACTGAACAGTGCATCACTTCTTTTTCTCTTTTTATTATCATTATTATTATAATTTACCATTATTACTTTATTTTACCTTAGTTTCCATTATTAAACTGTTCTTACTTCAAAATACAAGTTTTACTTTGATTCTTCTCCCCACTCGACTAAGGTTTGGGGAAGAGGGAATGGGGGTTGAATAAGTGGCTGTGTGGTGCTTAATTTCCAGCTGGGCTTAAATCATGACACCCACATTTATACTTTTATAGATGATGGCTTCTCATACGGACAAGACTGCACTATAGTTTTGATAGTGCTTGGTAACCAGCTAATTCTCTTATGACTAAGAGAGAAGTCTTATTTTTAGATGTGCATTAATTAAATTTAAATGAAACAACATTTCACACAAACATTTTTCATTTTTAACTCATAAACCCAATATTTGTCCCTACCTTGATCCCAACAG